GGATGATTTAAAAAACAATAAATAACATCAAACAGCCATCTTCCAACCTGTTCTGCCGCTAGAAATAAGTAACTTTGTTTTACCTTGTTTTTTTTGCAAAATTTATGGATTTTTAGGGCTCTTTATACAGGTAAACTTCCAAAGAGGTTGAAATGTATGCGAACCGGACTGAACTTCAGTCAAACAAGACCCAACACTTTTATTCCTGATTTAAACTAGCGATCTTGTGAGTTGCAGCTGTATGCTTTTATTTTTTTATGTCAGGCTGTCGGAGCGCTCCTCCTCCTCTGTCCGAGGCTGGTGTGGGGTGAAAATCCCTCCACCTCAGACGTTCAGAGATGTAACTATCTGCGATACTGTGGTCACTCTCCATGTAGCATCAATTATGCTAATGCTAGCTGTCACGTTCTCTCGTCCTGGACACATCTCCGCTCTCTAACCCCCCCTCCCCTACCCACACTCCCCTACCCACTTTGATGTATTTTTCAAATTTCGCCTTGGGGCGGAGTTATCTTTTCACAGGGGGGTTAGATACACTTTAAGGCCCCGTTTACACAATGCCGATTTTGAGTGAAACCTCAGGTTTTTTGCTGTGGTCCAGCCGACCATGTACACAACACCAGCCGTCGTTCTCTCTGAAACTGGACGTCTCTGAATCCTGGTCTCAGAGTGCAGATCTTCAGTAACACCCACCGCGGAGGTGAGAAACACCCCGCAGCTCTGAAAGTGCACATGTGTCGACACACTGCAAAGGTTTCTTCTAAACTAACAACAATTACAATAAATTACAGACATGAGAGTGTTTTTTATGCTTTGTAGCGTATAGGAGCGAAACACAAAGAGCATCCTAGGTCCACAGGAACATTCGTTTATTCACCAGATTCGGACATAACTGTGTTATTGCTGCTGCTGCATGTTCAGTGCAAGGTTACTAGATAATAAAATAAATATTTTTTTTGCTCCTCTTTCTGTCACATTTTCAGAAAACACAACACACCTTATCTTACAACACCCTCACTCAGCATATATGACTGACTGAATCATATACAGCATATCTAATGTTTTGACTCAAAATATCAGTGGTGGGCACTAGTCCCCTAAAGTGCAAATACACTAATTCCGGACCTAAATTTCTCCTTTGTGCTTTAGGGGTTTTATTAATTTCATATAAAGATGTGCAGATTTGCGCTTTCTAAATTTAGAAATGAGTAGTGCTAATTGCAAATAATGTTTCACAGTCAAATGTCACTTTCGTCTAAAGTAAGGAGAAAGAGCCGTCTGGTCTCACTATGTTTGTAGCCACATAATTCATTAAAAATTAGTCATGATTTTCCTGAACATTGGAGGGAAAACCATCTCTACTTAACACAACGAACCTTCATTGTGAGGAAACAGCAACCCTTCAGTCTGCACTGCGTTCACATAGCTTTATACTCTACTTCTGACTCTTCTCGGAGACGGTTTTCTCTTAGTAGAGACTGTAGTGTTCCCACAAGTCTTTGCATGGGAGGAACCCTTTAGAACTTCTTCACTGGGTGACAATCTAATGCTGCGTTCCATTTACATTGTATTCCCGGAACTGGTAACTGGTAGTGACGTCATTTCCCAACAAATCATATGAAACTGCATTCCAGTTAGCCAACAGGCTGTTGTATTGCTGCAGCTAACCTAGCTACAACACTGCTACAATATAAACAAAGCCAAAAAGAGAGCTCTACTGTGTACGTCATGCAAATAAACATTGATTTTAATAAGTACAGTATTGCACAGAAAACACACTACTTGTGCGAGTGATTAAACATGCATAAAAAATTAAGCAAGATAATTAACAGTAAAAGTTACATAGTTAACTTTCTAAAGCTGCGAGTAGCTGCCATCTTGAAATCGAAACTGGGGCAGTTTCATTTCTTCCACTATACGAGTGGAATATTACCACTGGATGGGGCGTTCCAGTTTAAATTTACCAATGGGAACAGGGAAATTACCACTTCCCAGGACTACTGGAATGCAGCATTACTGCGGTTCTGATTTTGATAAACTCAGGATAATAGCCTATATGCCACGGTCATTAATGACGTATTTCCGGTAAAATTCTTGCCACCCTCCTCCCTTCCACTCCCTGCTTACTGCCTATATTTTTAAGCGTTAGCTGCTAGTACTAGTCCGTGAAAAAGTCACAAAAGTTAAAGCAGTTGTGATCTACTGGTATAAAACGTGAGTTATGTTTTGTGCCGTTGTGTCCAATAACCAGCAGGTACAATCAAGTAGTTAGTTTTTATCCATTTTCCTCTTGATGAGGAGGTGACAGAAGGATCATAGCATTACAGGGAAAACTTATCTTTAAAAGCTCACGCTTACGTTTGTAATCTGCATTTCTAACCTGAGGATATTCAAGAGYCAGCATCAGAAATGAGAAGATGGAGGTTACAAAAGAGAAATGTACATTTATCCCCTTTTACTGCCAAGACGGAGAGAGGAAAGACCTCCTCCA